TACAAGTAAAAACATACTATATTTTACAGTTTATGTAAAAACATACTATATTTTACAGTTTATGTATGTATTCCGGAAGAAAAACATAGTAACATTTAAGTTGCAATCTAGTATCCATAGGATTTGCATTTATACATGTTGACACAAGTATCTAAAAAATCCAACAGATAGTTGGATAAAGCATAATATCAGCCTTGTCTTGTGTAATTATAATTACCATATAAAGGTTATTTTATATCACATTTTCAAGCCTCTTCCTGCTTAACAAATTGTGAATTAACCAGCTTCAAACCTTCAGTGGTTATGGTGGAATCTGCAACTTTGCTGTGAAGTCTCTGGTACTCAACCAATCTGTCTGAAATGGTGGGTCTTATAGTTCTTGCCATTCTGAGACCAACTATTCCTGAAACTATCAGAATAGCACAAAAGATCCAACTGAACTGTAAATTAGCAAGAGCTCTGGCCCTAAAATCAGCCTCATCAGAGCTACAAGAAATTGCTCCAAGCATGCTATGATTATGACCCATTCTGGTCTTGCCTAGATCATTCATAGAACACCCTTGAGGGACAAAAGCAGGAACCCACAGCATGAATCCCATGTTGAGAAACCAACAACCTTGGAACATGACAGAAATGGAAAGAACAAGTGCTGCTTGAAAGCTCTTGGGGAAAAAAGTTGCAGCAATAGCTGCTAAAAGTGAGATGAACACTATGAGTTGAAGCAACCAGTGGTAGTGTCCTTCAATTCCAACGTGGTCGGTGGAGTGAAAATTAAGCAAAAAGAACTCTTGAGCAAATACTGAGGATGCAAGGATCCCAACAAACCCAGACAAGAGCTCAAATGAATCAGTCAAAAACTCTGCAAAAAGGATGAAGCTTGCAAACACAGCAAGCTGTATGAACATGGTTACATGCTCAAAACTGTCAAGCTCGAAAGTGAAGTGAAAGGAAGGAAAATCCAGAACTTGAAGGGAAATTGCAAGGATGGAGAAAGATAGAATGGAAATGAGCTCCAAGTGTTTGAGTCTACAATGAAAGACATTGAATTGGTACCAGAATCTCACGGTGAAGTTGGAAGGGCCTCTCCCAAAATAAGCTTTGATGGTGTTGATGGTGTGCCACAGTCCAAGAAGGAAGAGTGCCAATCCAGGCACTATGTGTCCTATTAACGTGCCCATGTGAACGGTATTTTGTTCTTTGCTTCAGAATTTAGGCGTTTCCAAAGAAGAGGCATTTTTACAAACACCTTGCCTGCAACTTATAAAGAGCCAGAAGCCGAGAAAAGTAAATCTATGATTTTAGTCCTCACGTTTGGATCTTGGTGCTTTTTGCATGTGTTTCCACATATTGCACAAGAAGACAGTTTAAGAGCAAAGTTAAAGAAAATCAAAATGAATGGGCGTGCCACTTTATCAGAAAGCTTTAGGTACCTGTAACTTTCCTCAACATATTTGGGTTTTGTTTCTTTTTGGTAGTTTATAAAGTTTGTATGAAATTATGAATCCTGACGCTCTTTGGAAGTAGAAGCAATGTATTTGCTTCTTAATTAGATCTATTCTGTTATTTTATATTCATAAAATTGGAAGCATATTTACAAACATCAATTCAAATATTTCATATTTGCATTTGGAGAAAAACACACAAAAAGAATTAAAGGTATAAATATAGTATATATTTTAATGCATATATAATCATATTGTTTTGTATATTTTTTAAATCAAACAAATATATAACTATAGAAGATGGAAAGTTTAAATCAACTAAATGGAATACATTACTTTATCATATAAACAACTTTTCAAAAAATACAAATAGACGAGCACGCAACTTCTTTTTTAGGAAAATAATAATTAAGAACTCTTTAAAAATATTAATCTTAATTAAGGATCATCATATTTTAAAATCTCAATTAAGAATTATGGTCCTTAATTGAAATAAAAAATATAGTTTGGAAGATGAGATTTACTAATGTCACTTGAAAATTTACTAATTCAATTTGAGAAAATTGCTAACATATCTTATAAAAATATGAAACCTCACTTGAAAATCGATTGTTTAATAAAAAGTGACACTTGAGAATTCACTAACCAGAGTTGAAAAAATTTTTAACGTATATTATAAAAAATAAAACCTCACTTAAGAATCGATTGTTTAACCAAAAAAAACCTCAATTTTGATAAGTTACTTTTTGTTAAATAATCAATTCTCAAGTAGGGTTTCATTTTTTCATAATATATGTTAGAAATTTTTTCAAGTCTGATTAGTGAATTTTTAAGTGACGCTTTTTGTTAAACAATCAAATTTCAAATAGAGTTTCATGTTTTCACAATATACATTAAAATTTTTTTCAAATTGAGTTAGTGAATTCTTAAATGACACTTTTTATTAAACAATCTATTCTCAAATGAGGTTTTATGTTTTCACAATATATGTTAATAATTTTTTTAAGTTGGGTTAGTGAATCCCCAAATGGCATTAGTGAATTTCACCTCACAAACTATATTTTTTTTATTTTAATTAAGGACCATGATTTTTAACTGAAATTTCAAAATATTATAACCCTTATTTGAGATTAATATTCTTATAGGGTTCTTAATTCTCATTTTCCCTTCTGTCATTGACAATCGCTAGTGTGAAGTCTGAAAAAGACTGCAAGCCTGAAGCGTCCTCTTCAATATCCTTAAAATGAAGTCTCATTTAAATTTATGAAATAAAAAATTATTTTAAGAGTGATTTTTTTTTTTTTAAGTAATTGGACTTGAGCATAGATTAATTGGTAGAATTGGATTTCGCAGGTCTTATTACCCAAAAGTAAAGAAATACTAATGTCTTTAAAGCTCTTCAATTTATCAAGCATTTGCGCAATTCTGTTTTATGAGGTCAATCATGGAATTACCTAAACAACGTATGACGTGGTTTCCAATATGCATATTTCACTCATCTTTCTTATTCAACGGCGTCCCTAAACACACTTATAGTGCACGTACTTTGATCAAGCAATATATTTTGTTCATCTCAGACGTTAATTTGATTGTCAAAGTTAATGTCAGATTTCCACGGTCCATGAGTCTTGTACGAATGAATATTCAACCTTGGGATGGGTGATGGTGCAAGGGAGTGACCACTTATGATCTGTAATTGGAAATCCGCATCAGAGTGGGGGATCATTATGACATAACTCCCACTACCACTATCTATAAAATGCCAAATTTAACTTGCCCTTCCGTGCCCAAAATTACCACTCGATCCTTAGAGCTGGGCAAACAGGTTGCAGGCCAACTCGCAAGCTAGCCCGCATGGGCTGGCAGTTTTGTAGGTTGAGTTGGGCCAGCCCGTCAGGTAAAACAAACTAAAAAATCTAACTCAATTCATTTTCTAGCGGGCTAGCTCACAAAAAAATTATCAATTTTTTTAATAATTTAAAATTTATACAATATAAATATATATATTTATTTCATATTTTAAAGAAAATTAGAAATTAAAAAACTTGTAAATAAATATAGAATTCAACCAAGCAAATTTATTTTGCTAGATTTTTACTATTAATCATCTTCTCACCTAAGTGTGTTATCTTTGTCACTAATAAAGAAAATTTGAATATAAACTCATATTATTTTCTTAGTGAATTCATATTTATAATTTCAATCAATAAAATTTATGAGATTAATAAATAATATATATTCAAAACATTTCTATAAAAACTAATAAATCATCTTCATAAACTATAACAAAAATTTCATTTGCAAATTGTAAAAAGAATTTACACTATATTTTAAATGTAAAGAATATATTTGAAAGTCATAAATTATATATTTAAGAAGTATTATCATTATTGTAGATTTATAAAAAGATATAATGTAATTAAAAAATAAAAAATTATTTTTAAAAAATATTGCTAGCCCGCGGGCCAGCCTGTTTAGCCCGTAGGCCAGCCTGTTTTAACTTGCTATTTTTGCGGGTTGGGCTAACCCAGCCCGTTTTGAAAAACGGGCCAATTTCTTCAACCCAACCCGTCAAAATGTGCGGGTCAAACGAGCTAGCCTGCGGGCTCAATCCATTTTTCCGGCTCTATCGATCCTGGTTACATGATAAAAAGGGCTCTTCATTATTACTTTCTTTCTGTTTATGTAATTGTGACCCCTAAAGGTAACCCTATCTGCAATATAGTGGAACTGAAATGTGCCCAATAAATTCAGTGACCAACAACGTGTTTCCACTTGTCCATCAAATTAATGGTGTAACGTTCTCCATCTGGTCAATTTAAAGTTAACATGTAAATCACATCAAAAGTGGCCAAGCCAGATCCTCATCTTGTTAACTTACACTATAATGACGGACGGCGGATGAAGCTTACTCTTCTTCTTTTTTTTTTTCAAATAAGATGTTTATTTTAGTTGCTAAACGAAGCTCAGAGCTCACGCTTGACCACTACAGAAAAAGTTGACCGTACAATTTATAAAGTGATTTCCTTTACTTTCACAAACTTTGTCGGATTGGCGTGTTGAACACATACTATAGCCGCACCCCCCACATTTGCATAAATCTTTTATATTTATATCCAATTTAAAGTACTAAAGCTTATAATCACAACTTCCTAAAATATAAGATATTTGATATGAACAAATCTCTTTTGAAGTGCCTTGTGAAAATTACCCCCAAATCCACAAAGACTTGCAATCTTTTTTCCCCATTAATTGTCGAACTAAGAGGATCATTTAATGCAGACACCAAAGTTTACGTGACTCCAGACAGTTCGTATAGAATCTCTGCAAGCTACAAGAGATGTAGTGACAAATTAAATCCCCATTTAGTGCTGGCCACTATTGTAATCGTTCTATCCAAATCTAATTTCAACAGTTTACACTGGAAGTTTTTTAAAAGAAAATGACAAACCGAAAGATCATCTTCACTTCAAAATTTACATTCTTAAAAAAAAAACTTTAAAAACATTAATTTTAGCAGTTCAAATTCAAAAACAGTTCTCCACGTAGTCATAAATACACAGGAAAAGGAAGGACTTGTTCATAAAGCATAGAAGGCTTGGCCATTTCCATTGGCGTCCTCCATTACAATCCTTCAACAGAGTGGCACGCGCAAGATCCAGCTAGTACACAATTTGTCGTTTAAATAACCTCGGGCTAAAGGAATAATGCAACAAAATTCTTGAGGCTACCCCACAGGGCTCACTTTTCACTACTAGAGTATGGATAATGAATAATTCTAATAAAAAAACAGTATTCTTGTTAAACTACATTATATTATAATAGTTCTCTCTCCTTTTTCATCTCAAGTCTCAAATAAAAAATTCCTGTCTGCAAGAAATGGTTTGTGTATGCTATGATCAATGATGCCACACCAAAAAATCTATAGCTGCCTCCGTTTCAGAACATCTGCAAGCCAAAGCATTCAGTCCTATACCCGGAAGAAGCGTAACCATTTACTATTCTTTACCAATCAACATGCAGTACCAAGTTTTGTAATTGCAATATATCAACCTATCTTTCGGCTTTCACCACCTTGAAACCTACATAATGTGGTTATGTGAACAAAAAATGAGGAGAAAAAAATAAAGGAAAAAATTCAGATTCAATGAAACACTACAGCTATCACCAAGAAGGAACAATGGCAAACCAAGGACCTTGATAAGCCATGTTAAGCCATTGCTTCCAATTACAGACCTCCAATTATCAAAATTTCATTGAAGGACCATTGGGAGACAACCCCATTTCCGAGTAGGCTACCTGATTTTCCCAAGTGGTTTACTTGGAATTCACAACTGTTATATGTGATTTAGTAGTCTCATTCACAATTTGTAGAATTAATTTGAACTTTTTTTTTTTCCTTACAATAGAAATACTAACAGAATCAACTGTGAAAACACATAGAATCAATTGGGAATTCCAGATAAGCCACTTGCAAAAATTAGGTGATTCACTTGGCAACGGGGTTGAAGACACAGATCAGATAATTGACATCAACATAAAGCACCAGCAACGCCCAAAAAAAAAAAAATGATTCCACATCCGTTTAGAGCTTGACAGTAGAGTTTTATGTTACAAGGTTTTGATCTCACAAACAAAAGTGAGTGGGAAATGCTGATGAGAAATGCCAAAATAGGAAAAACTGATATGGCAAATCAGCAAACGCCAAAAACATATAAAAAGGAATTGGCAGTGAACATGCAAGATTTTAATCTCCACCTGAATATCTTCAGACAAGTTAGTTATCCATTAAACAAACAATTATATTTTGAGACCTTCTCCACCATACATCAAATAAAGCACAACATGGAATGAGTGTGTCAGCATGATCAATTGACACTAGAGTCAACAAACTTGCCCTGTCAACTTGATAAGAAACTCTTACACTACAAGGTCATTACCAATAATTTGATGATTATTGAATAGTAAGTTTATGACCTACTTTAATCCTTGTTATCTCCACCAATATAAATATATATTTATTTATTTATTTACCAATGAGCCATAGCAATAACTTGAAATTTAGACACAACCTCTCATGTTTCTTTCTTAAACCATCCGCATGCACGATGATTCAGGAAAATCAAGACTAATGGTGCTGTCCTGGTTCTTAGAGAGTACAAATCCCTGTACATCACTGTCATCTATAACACACGAGTGCTCTTTTTTTTTTTTTTCTCTTTTCGGGAAGTACATAGCGATTTCAAGGATAAAAACCAGGAAAAGCTTACTGATGCTATTATACAATTCAATTAACAGAACAAGCACAATAATCCGTTTAAAGTCAGTGAATGAAAACTTAAACTCTTACTACCATCTTTGCCCTCTTGTTTTCCACATATATCATGCCCAATGAATAATTAAGAAGGGAGAGATTCAGGCCAAAAAAAAGAGAGAGATTGAGATTTTTTTGGGATTCTTTTTGGCGGGGAAGGGGTAGCAGACAGACCTTAAAGGCAACATATTAAGCAGTCAATTGCACCTTTTTGTTCCACACTCTACATCTACACTCTACAGGCCTAAACAAAACCTAGTTTGTACTGTTAACTAGATTACACGTTAGTATAATTGCCTCCATGACTAGCCAAGCCAGAAAAAAAAAACCAGAAAGCAATCCCAGGATGTCAATAAAAGAAGAGGATCACCAAGTTTTGACAATCAAACCAGCTGAATTCGAAATCAGATACATGACATGTATAATGTATATACATATATATATTTTGGGGGGCTGCAAAGACCCTAAAGAAGCACATTAATTAAACTCTTGGATACTGAAAAGGAAAAAAGTTGGAAAAAACCGAATCAATCAAAAGATAGCAGGGGTCGTAAAAATTATTAAGAACCTGCAATTTAGGCGATGGTAATGGCTTGTTGCTTTGGCGGCTCGAGATGATTCTTAGAATTTTGATCGTCAAGAAAATCCTCAATGTTATATATGACAGTGATATACAGGGAGCAACTAGGGCATCGTGCAATCTCTTCGCCTAGCTTAAGGTCTTCCTTTGTGATCTGGAAGAGGTCACCACATGGACAAGGGTACGTATAAGCCTGGAGCTCCTCGTTCCACTCCATGTCCTCAATCTCCACATCATCATATGACATCTTTTATTGCTCCTTTTCTTCTCTGCACCAACAAAGGACCGTTAGAAGTTGAAGTTCGACATGAAGAGACCAATGCTGTTTCAGATTCCTCTGCGAAGGCGTAGATTGCATCCTCTTTAACCAAAATACTGAAAACTAAACTGGCCATTGAACCAGCCAAGTTCAGGGGGCAGGTTTCAACCAAGGTCGAACGGGTCAACTCAAAATCAGACTAGTCATAATAAAATAATATAATTTAAATAAAAACACATTATCCAAAACTTAATATAACTCTCAGTTCCATGACTAATAGGATTTCTTCCAATACCCATGTTCAATGACTAAGATAGCTCCAATCTGCAAGCTACAATAATTTTGCCACAAATAAACAAACAATACAAAAAGAATAGCTTAGCACAATTCCAACAACCATTCAGAAACTTAATTTCATAATTAAAGCAAGCTCAAATTTACTTCAATCCTTGATAATATGTTCAAATCAGTAGACAAAAATTAATTTCACAATTAAATTTCTCAAGCACACAAATCAGTAGCACGAGTAGAGAACAGGGCAAAAGTCATACTTAACAACAGACTCGATGAACAAAAAAGCAACACCAGAGTCCAGTCGTTTCAGACATCAGAACATGTATTTCAATAGCAGGCGTCAGCCAAGATAAAGTATTTCAGTAGCAGACTTGACTGATGGGGAGAGAGAGAGAGAAGCTGCACCTGAATCGGGTGGGGCGGGAGGGAGAGCCTCTGTCGGAGGTCGAAGACGAGCTAGACCCACAGACCCACGAAGCTCGGAGAGAGCTCACTGCTCAGGATGACGGACGACGGACGAATGGAGACCGGGAGAGCGAGAAGAGACCGGTAGGACAGAGGAGAGAACGCGAGAGCGGGGGGAGGAAGATCGAGGAACTGAAGTTTAGGGCTTCAGGCTTTCGCGTTCTTTGTTTAAGGTTGGGAATAGGCCAGGCCTTCAAATGAGCCAATAACATAACCTACTTCAAATCTAACATCACCTATTTATTAAATAAATTAAAATTAAGTTAAGCCTAATCTAATTAAATAACTCATATTTATTTTTTAAAGTCTAATCTATAAGCTTAATAAGCCAGCTTATTTCTATATACTATGTAATATATCACAAATATATTAATTTCATCATTTAATTTTTAATCAATCTATTTTTTTATTTTTAATTATATTTGCAATTATATTAGACTTATATATTAATCTTAAATCTTAATGTTATTACTTTATTATTATATTGTATTGTAATTAGTAAGTCTTTTCAATTATTATATATTGTAATTAATAAAGTAGGTTATATATTGCGTATTATAATAGTCATAAAGTATATTTGAAATGTTTAAAACTAAAATGTGAGTATATTTAAAAAATTTACTTTTAAATATGTTTTTAAATAGGCTTTTAAATTAGGTTAGGTTTTAAATAGGTTCAGACATGAGTTATAAAAAAAAAAGCCTTATATTCAGGTCAAGCTTAGACCTCCAATTTACCTCACAGGCTTAGGCCTATTTGGGCAAAGCCTAGCTCAACTTCGCCTATTTTCACCTCTAGTTTCAATATATATATATTATAATAATATAATTAATTTATATTTAAAAAAACATTACTTTTATTACCGCACTATGCTCGAGTTTTGTTTTAGGTCTCGCACTTTTCTCGAGATTTGATATAGATTCAAGACTTGCAACAAAACTTGAGTAAAGTGCAGAGATCCAAAGCTATGTTTTTCCTTTCTTTATTTTTGGACAAAAGGTCAATACCTACAAAGTTATTGGCTTTAATAGTATAAAGTGAGAAAAAGGATGGGAAAACTTATAACACCATTTTTAGTAAGGGTAAGAGTAACCAAACCATTAATTTGCTATGAGATCCATTAATTTTTTAGGTAAAATGCTGAGTATGCTTGTCACGTGTCAATATTAACTATTTGAACTGCCACCTGTCAATGTTTAGGATTTAGCTTGAAAGAAGAAGAGATTCGGAGAGTGAGAGGAAGCATTCTTATTAAACCACCACCAACATCATCATCCTCATCTTCTTCATTGTTGTCTCGCCTAAGATAAGAGTCAAACTTACAATCACTGTGTGCAGAGCCCCGCCTAAGATGTTGTTGACCCAACGACACCTGAAACCACTCTCTTGATGAGAATATTGCGATATTAAGGAGGTCAATGGCCAAAGATTTGAACCTTCCTATAAGACCCTACTTTTTCGATGGAAGGTTAGAATAGCCAGACTAAATGCACTAGAACCAATTCTTTGCTTCTTCGCTCATCACGCACAATCTAATCATCCATTCATAGTCTCTCATCAATTAACGAAAAGGATGTTATCCTCACTGTGCAAGACGAAGATGAGATTAAGGTCTAGAAGCCTTGAGAGTCCAGTTTGACATTAAGAACCAGGTCAACTTGAATTGCTACCTTGGTTCTTGTCGTTGCCTCTGTAACATCCTGATTTTTAATTCCCTAATTAATTAAACCTAATTAGGGTAATTAAGTAAATTGAAGTGGTGTGTGGTTAGATAGGTCTAATAATCATGTTTGATGCTATTTTAGCCCTAATTGTGGGTCCGGTATCAAGGCAGACCACTCGGGCATCAAAAGAAGAAGAAAAGGAAGAGTTGAAGTTGCTATGCCACACGCTGCAGTGCGTAGATTGTCCACCGTGATGCGCAGCCATCTCTGAGCGAGGGAGGATCTCTTTGTGTCATACATCTTGGCACATTGTGCGTCCGCCACGGCGCATGGCCATTTTCTGCACTTTATCAGACGCAAAATGAGACAAAAAGAGAAAGAAGAGAAGAGAGAGAAAGAAGAGGTGAGTTAAAGCTCTGCTAGGATTTGCTTGGGGACTACTTTGAGTGTATTTTGAAGGCTACAAACACCCAAGGTAAGTATCATACTCATTAATCTCCTCTTTTCTTCCACATTTATGAGTTTATGATTAGGGTTTGATAGTGGAAGTGGGATTTCAATCCATACAGGTTATGGGTCCGAATTTGTTAACTCAAATGGAGTTAATGAGGGTAGATTAAAGTATTTAAACCTAGGTATGATGAGTTTTAGTATTTTGGATTGTTGGGCACCATTAATGTCCGAAAATCCCATTTATTGTGGGTGGTTGAAAGTTTGTGATGCCATTAATGGAGATTTAATGGCTCATTAATGCTATTGGGGGTTAAAGGTAACTATTAAACCTAATGGTTAGGCTCCATCTCTTGTAAAGTGAAGGTTGGGCAATTTAGAAGTAGAGATTGAGGATTCAAATGTTTAAGTTCATTATGTTGATGGAATTCAACTTGGTTGATTGTAGTTTTGGCTCTTGGTCACCTATTGGAGTGGAAATTCAAACTTGAAAGCTAATTGATTGAGGGGTAAACCTTTGACCTCTCAAAAGTTTGAGGTAACTGGAGGGAAACTCTACTTGAGGTGGTTGTATGTTAATTAAGTGTTAATTGATTGTTGAATGTGAATGGTGAATGTTACATGTATGATATTAATTTTTATGTAAAACTATATATTAGTTTTCAATGAGTATATGAAAATTTGACTGAGCACAATGCTATTTTGGCTTGAAATGTAAAATGTAAAGTTAAAAGGATTTTACTATAAAAATGCTTATGTTTTGAAAAATGAATGCAATAATGAGTAGAGATATTTATGTGTTAGTAAGGAAATGAATTTTGAGAAATGATGAGAATACACATTTGGGTAGCACAAGGTCATGAGCCCAATGTGGTTATTGTAATAGTGAGTAAATGAAAGCGAAAAAGTAAAGTCAAGTAATTAATGATTATGGCATGATCAATGGCAGGAGTTTACCTAGAGATTTAGGACTAGAGAAAATCCATATGATAATTAGGCTGCCCTCCAGTACATGGGATCTATAGCCTTGTCCCATTGTTTGTCGAAGGACTGTCCCATAATTTGTCGAGAGACTAGAACCTAGCTATCTCTACCGATTCAATGAGGAGAATAACTTAAGATATAAGACACCCCAGGGATTCGAGAATAGGGGAAGCCGCGGTCCAAGAGTGAGTCTTGTGATCTTTGGTCAGGTCACATCTCACAATTAGTGAGCTTAGGTAGTCCAATCACACGGATGGAGCTCTAATCAATGTTATAGCCTACAGTTTCAGTCTGAGAAAATAAGGAAGATATAAGATTAGATGATCACTGCCTAAGTAAATGTATGACGTGTCACACGTGCTAAGTGGTAGCAGGTCGCAAGAGTATGGGTCATGTCACATATCCGAGAATATGGTGACAATGCACCTAGTTACGTGAGTTAAAGGAGCTATATAGTAATAAATGGTAAATTATGATACACGTGAGTTTGATTTGCATATTTGATCTCCTTGTGCATGTATTTGTTTTATAATTGATATATAACTGCATAAGGTAAAGTTAACCTTGGTTACTGAGTGACTAGACTCACCCCTTTTATTTAATACTTTTCAAGCTCTAGCTTTGGTGTTGAGAGGGAGAAGACTAAAGAGGCGAGAAATTAGCATATTCCTACCGTATGCCTCTAGTTTAGCTTTAATTGTGTAATAGTATATGGCTTGCCAATTCTAGGATGCATATTATCTCACTTGCATTATTTTGGTTGTTGGAAATGTTAGAATTGTATTTTGGGCCCTTAGCCTTTATGTATATTGATGTGTGTGTGTGTGTGTTATAAGGCCAAAATACTAATGTAAGTGTAGAAATAAAGATTTAAGCATGTTTTGGATGATTGAGTTAAATGCAATGTTAATTTATCTTCCCCTTTTATTTTTGGCAAATTGGGGTTAAGGAGTGAATTTTAGTTATAATGATGTTTTGGTGTGTGTGACGTGTTGTATTAGTAGTCCTAGGTCTATCGGACATAGTCCAGGCATTAGGAAAAGCTTTTAGTACTTGTTGAGGGTTTTGGACACCCATTTTGTGTAAAAGTATTGAAAAGTGGTCAAATTGTGTTTGGGTGTCTAACTTTCTAGTGTGATGTGTTTTGGAAATAAAACTCATGTCATTAGTTAGTTTATGTAAAGAGCTTTCTGTAGACATCTAGATCACATCATTCGGATGGAGAATTGGGGCGAGTTGGAAGTTCCCCTGATTCTATTGTCAAATAATAGCAAACTAATGAAATTTCATGCAACACACCGCGGCGCAGCGTGCACGAGCCACGACGCATCGCTCTGAATCACAGCATATGTTTTGTTTTTCAATTGTTTTCGACTTCTTTTACTCCTTTGAGGTATCCTATACTTCCGAAGCTTATTTTTACTCTGATATGAAAGATTTTGATCGATTTTAACTTGTTTCTATTTAGAAAACTTAGGATCCCTTACTTTTAAATTAAACCTTAGTAATCACTTTTTGAGCTAATCCTCTGATTATCATGAGTTTTTTTTTATTAATTACAGTTCGTGGAGTGAGAACGTTACAGCCTCTATAGTTTTCTTTTGCTTGTGTTCTTTGTTCTTTTACCTTCTCTATTTTTTCTGCCTTGAAAGTGAAGGACTACCCACTTCAAGGATTTGTCGTTAGCCCTTATTTTTATCGTCGTCGCTCTCTACTTTATGCCCAAGAACTAGAATCTAATCCATCATAGCCTTTCAATTCTAAAGCATTTGTGGGATGGTCTAATTCCAAGCTCGTTCACTAGTTAAGTACCACTAATTCCACCTTTAAACTACTTCATTGTGACTGGAATTATTCTTCACTGTTTAGATATGATGGAATCACCAAGCAAGTTTAAGCCCTATAGGTAGTGGCTTTGTGATTGCACAGGGTGAAAGGAAGAAGGAGACAAAGAAGATGCATAGCTAGCAAGCATACTCAGATTTGCATCATATTTTTTTACAGGTGGCAAGGAGAGAGAGGCTTAATGCATCATATTTTTTACAGGTGGCAAGGAGAGAGAGGCTTAATGTTGAAAATTAACAAAGGTTAG